GTCAAAACATTGGATCACTTCCAGATCAATGACAAAGTGTGTGGTGTGGCTATAAAAAATGGTGCAAAGTCTAATAAGGTAAATGTGGAGGAACTAAACGGTGATCAAGAAGAGGCAGATACTCTTCTGATACTGCTTGCCAAACATGCTGCACACTCTGTTGATGAAGTTCACATCATGTCTCCTGACACTGACGTATTCATTTAGCTCTTGAGAAACTGCCTGATATTGAGCCCAAATTGTGTATCATACTTGGAACTGGAAAAAGCAGGAACTGTACACATAGAACCAATGTACAGCGCTCTCAAAGAAGAACTGGCCGATGCATTATGTGGGTTTCATGCCTTCACAGGCTCAGACACAACAAAACGGATAGCTGGCAAAATGAAAACAATATGCTGGAAAACCTTCTTGAAAGCTAATGATAATATCATGAATGCCTTTTGTCTACCTTGGAAGAAAGCAACACCCTCCTGAACAAACACGTGATGCCCTGGAAGAATTTTTATGTGCACTTTATGACTCTTCAAGTAAATTCAAGAACGTTGGCAAATTGCGTTGGCATTTGTTGAAAAATAAGAAAGCTGAAGTAGAAAATTTGCTTCCAACAAAGTCAGCACTGAGACAGCACACATTACAGGCTCATTATCAAGCTATGATTTGGGTGAATTCTGATGTGGCATGCCATAATTTACCATAAAAAACATGGATTAGCATGCACAGAAATGAACAATAGTGGGACATCAGATGATCCAGAAACAGATGAAAATGTTGAATCATCTGAGGAGGACGAAGTGCACTGATATAAACATATAAACAATAAATTTGCAAATTACTGCACATGTTGATAAATATTACCACCTGAATATTAATATATAACTTAGCTTCGACTGACTAGACCAAAATTTAGTCGAATCAGTATAGCTTTACAAAGAATACAAATTTTAATTGTTACAACGTATACCCGTATCGTTTTGTGAAATCAAGTTTTTCTTTCAGTTTATAATACTATAATTACACTAATTTATTCATTCATCAACTCTGGCAATAACTTGACATTTCGTAAAGAAATGTCAGGCTTTTGAAAACAGTGCATGTACTTTAACATGAGTCTGAATGAAATGCGACTAAGCTTCAGTCTATGCAGTGTACTGGTCTGAATATTCCATTACAAAACAATCTTAAGAGCATGTTCTAGTAATACTTTATATATAATGAAAACACTTTCTTGAAAATCGCTCTAAAACCAATATATTATTAATGAGTTTTACTGTGTATAATTTGATCACATTTTCTTATTACCTACTACGAATTGTACAAAATGTTAAATATATTTTTTCAAAATAAGAACAATTCTTATTTGGTCCAAAAACATGAGCATATTATTTTGCCCTTCTACGTGCTAAATAGTAAAAGTAATCA